GGAAGGTCTACAAAGATTAGATCCTCTTCAAGAAATTGTGGGACATTTGAATGTCCATTTATTACATAAATAACCATGCATAGACTTTGGGGGACTATTGTTACCCCCCCAAATCAGAGGGTCCAGGTCAGTACTCCATGTGGACTGCCACGTACACAGCATATCTACGTGGACTTTCAAGCGTTCCTTATAGTCAAGCAAAAGCAAAGCCAGTTCAAAAGTCAACGGGGGATTCAACAAAGTCAAGGACGACAGAGGAGGCCATTGTCCGAAGACATGCAAGTGCCGAAGCTGCATTTATCCGATGACCCCTTTAGCTTACATAATGAAGGCCTGCTTAAAGCCCTCCTATGTGATGCAGAGGCTCCTCACGTCCGAAGTACTGAAGCACCGAAGCTCAACTGCACCAGATGTCCATAAGTTCGAAGCTAACCTCAACACACAAATGCTGACGCTGCCTCCCAATAGATTAGAAGATTCTTATAGAACTGATTGATGGGACGTCTGTAATAAAGTGTCTGTAGTTTTTAATATATCAGTCTGTCAGCCTATTATTAGCATGGCTGACCCTTTGTCAAACATTGAATATGATGAATGGATAGTGATGTAAGTCTTTGGTCTAGGAGATGTTGCCACGTGGATGTCATCGGACGGTCACCACGTCGGCTAGATTAGTATAAATAACCTCTATTTGTACTAAAAATGGGGATGCAATCAAGAAATAAAGAATGTCTTTATACGCTTAGCTTTGTTTTACACAACACAAAGAAGAACACATGTTGATATTCAAAGAATACACAATACATTTTCATATCTATCCTTCCACATATTCCATTACGAAATGAGTGATTTAGTTAGCGTGAGTTGCTTCTCAAACTAAATTGTCGGAGTCCGAACATTTGTGTCTCTCGCCGGAAAGTGCCTCCCACGTTCATTAATATCAAATCTCCTTTCCTATTCCAGAAGAAACACGCCGGATCAGCACTTGACGTGGCAAGAGTGGTCCCGGCATCTCTTGAGTTCATTTTTTGGGGTCAACAGACACTCTTGCGGCTACCATTGCAGCAGAGAAGGACATCCAGACTGCCACTCAAGAGTTTGTTCCTATAAGTTGGGCAAATAATGAGAAACTTTCATTGAAAGGGTCTCTTTCTGCTGTTAGAAAATCAGCTCATGCAGCTGCACTGATTGAAGCAGCTTTCAGGGCTCGTTCATTCCGTCAAAGGCATCTTGTGACGGGCAGCAATGATATTTCTCTCGACCTCGTTGCTCTAGGTTCCTTGAAGAAGGTCCAGAGGATGGGTCATTTTCAGGAGTATTTGCACTCTGCTGCCATAAAGATTCAGCAGAAGTACCGTGGCTGGAAGAAAAGGAAAAAATTCTTGAATATATGCAGCCGTATAGTTAAACTTCAGGTACACTAGTTTAGAGATGGATGAATCCCTGTTGTTTAGTTTTGAGCCCTTGTCGATTTGAATAATTGTGTTCTGTTATTTTTAGACAATTTCCAATAAAAGGATTATATTGTATTAGGGTTTATCTAATCAAACAAAAGCGGGTTTCATATCGAGGTGGGAGAGGACCACAAAATCATGCTGCATTCGTTCATAGATTTTGCAGTCACTGAACTTTGCAATGTGCCTGAATTCCACCTCTGCTTAGTCTGCATGCATAATTTATGTTTAATCTAGTGCTGGTGAGAGTGTGCACTTTTTAGTTCATGCATAATACTTGAACATTCAAATACTTGTTGAGCCTTTCTGATATTATGATATGAACTAGTTTTCTTTATCCATATTGAAATAATTATTTTTCATGACTTTTCAGGCTCATGTGAGGGGACATCACGTTCGTAAGCAATATAAAAGGTTATTTGGTCTGTTAGTGTTGTTGAAAAGGCGATCTTGCGTTGGAGGCGGAAGAAATGTGGGTTACGAGGATTTCAGACGAAAAATGCTTGTGAAGATTCATTGTCTGACGTTGAGAAGAAAGATGAGTATGAATATTTAACGATTGGTTGAAAACAAAAGATTGTGGGTGCTGAAAAGGCTCTGGAACGAGTACAATCAATGGTGCGTTACCCTGAGGCACGGAACCAATACATGAGACTGGTGGCAAAATTTGAAAATTCTAAGGTGATATAACTCTCTACTTCATCAGGTCAGCGTGTTTAGTTTCCTTATCAACGAAGTTGTAGAGAGTCTGAAAGGAAGTCTTAGTTTTATGAGTTTCCCATTCAAATTGACTAACTTTTCGTGATATTGCTGCATCTTTGCAGTTGAACAATGAATGGATAAGTTGATTGTCGGAAATTTGAAGTTCTGATATTTGGTATGATGGGAGTGTGACGATCCAAAACTTCGCTGAGTCATTAAATCGTATAGTAAATTAATGAGTCTTTCATAAAAGAAAAAAATAATTTTTACTTAAATTTTCAAAACTTTAAATCAGTTTAAAAAAAAAAAAATTGTAGTTTTTTTTCTTTTTTACATATTATCCCGGCTTGAAATTTTTTTTTAATTCAATCCTAAATTCACCCACGGTCACTTGCTAAGTGTAAAGGAGAAGATGGGACTGACTGTAAGGGCATGTTTGATTTCTGTTAATTTATTTTATGGTTTGCTATAAGATCATTTTCAATTATACGTTTACACAATAAAATATTTTAAACTTCTTCCAAAACTTTTCTGGACTTTTTAACAACACATTTTCCTAAAAATATTATTCAAAAATCTTTTTTTTTTTCAATTAATGAGAATCAAACAGGCACTAAATGTTGTCCACTTCATTGTAAGGAATAGTTTAATTTCATTTCATTCCTAACTGGATGGTTGAAATATAGAGTTTGATATCAAGAATGAACTTACTCATACACCCATTTTTACATCAAGTTTGACATCCCCTATATATAGGAAATCTGGCTATTGATTGGAAAGAGTATTGTTAAAATTAATATATAAAAAATTGTCAACACATGATGTCAAACTTGATATATATGTAGCAAGAACAAAGCTTGGCTTCATTCGCGGATTTGGGTCACTTGCCCCACCAATTTTTTGAATTTTGTGTGTGTGTGTGTGTGTGTGTTTTAATGAAAAAATTAATAAATTGGTCAAAGTAGGGGAAAATGGAAATTGTGTATTAATTTTATGGTTATACTTCTTGTAGGATTTTGACATGGAGAAATTGTCTAATTATTCAAATAATTCTGATATTTTAAAGGGAAAATTTCATAATTAAGAGGTTAAATATTATCTATTTCAAAACTAAGAACAAATGTTTCAAATTTCAAAAATCAAATACTAATTAAAATTTATTTATGATTTAATTAATTAAATATATTAATGTCATAAATTTATACAATTTGATCACAATTAACGATTTAATTAGTCCCATATTGTTTTTCGATCACAAATCAGAAATTTTATATTTCACAAAATATCTGACGGTCACAATTTGTTCATCAGTCTCAAATCAAAAATTTATATGTCACAATTTATTTATCAGTCACAAATCACAAATATTATAAGTCACAACTTATGAAATAGTCACAAATTTTCAATCAAAAATTTTATATGTCCCAAATTATCTTATAGTTAAAATTCAAAAAAATTAATAGATTACAATTTATTTATCTGTCACAAATAAAAAAATTATAAATCACAACTTATTAGACAGTCACAAATTTTCAAATTATTGGTCACAAATTAACAATTTTTTAGGTCACACATTATTTCTCGATCACAATTTATCTTTTTCATTGCTCATATTTTGTTTATTGATCACAGATTAACCAATTTAATAATTACAATGAACCAAATAATTTGTGATCACAACCAACACTTGTGACCACCTCCTCATCACTCCCTCCAGCAGTACCATCGCCACTGTTACCGCCAGAACCACCACCACCGCCTCTCGATAGCAACACCATCTCAAACAAATCAACACATCGCAAAAAAAAAACAACACCATATCATCGCGCCCGATCAACCACCACCTCAACAGACCCATCACCACCAACATGTCACCATCACCTCCGACCACTACCCCCAACTCACCAGCACCACGCCAACGTTATCAGTTACAACCACCACCACCAAAAATTCAGATCTAACATTATCAGTCACAGCAATGCACCATCACCACACCCAACCACCGCAGCACCATGCCCAACCACTACTTACCACCACCTCACCCAACCACAACGTATAGCACCCCAACCACACAACTGCACCCAACCACCGATCACAGCACCATCGAACCTAACCACCGCACCGTACACCGCCATTACACATCACCACCGCACCCAACCACTGCGCACATCACCACCGAACCCAACCACCACTACACAACACCACCGCACATTGCACCGTATCGCACATCACCATCACAATGCCAGCACCTGAATCTGAATGCCGATCGACAAGGATGAAAGCTAAATCAGATCCAAAATCACCAGCACCATAATGCCAACAAATCAGATCAAAATTGCACACCAGAACGCTGCTCGATGAAGATGAAAGTCGCATGGGAGGAAAATGTCGTCGAGCGCGTCGGGTTGAATGTTTTCAAGCGATGTCATGGTAAACGCCGCGCGAAGGAGAACTGTCATCGAGGGGTAAAGAGAGATATCACTGCGGATTCGATGGGGGCTCACAACGCGCAGCAACAGTAGCATCGTAGCTCATGACTCCGGCAGCATGGTGGGATGAAGACACACTTTGTTGTGGATCTAGTGGGGCTCTCGGCGCTGCATTCGTGACATAGAGTGAGTGGGAGAGAGAGATGAGAGAAGTAGGGGATAGAGAGAAGAAAATAGGAAGATAATTAGGGTTTTGGTTGGTTGGGTGGGTGGGGTAGTTAGATATGTGTATTAATTTAATTTTATACTATAATTATTAATATTAAAAATTTGAATTATTATCTGATTTTTGAATAAAAACATATAAATCTTATTTTTGAATTGTGAAGTTGAAAAGTTTGGTGGATGTAATTGATAAGTATATTTTATACACTTATTCAGGCTCTAAAATATTGACATTTCATAATTCTTTTAATGGAATTATAGCTTAATTTATTATATAATGTGTTATTAGGTAGAACTCAATGAATGAAAGTGAAATTAAAAGAAATAAACAAAAATTACGAAAGTGCAAATACTCAAAAGTTGTGTCGGAGCTTAATATGAAGATTCGAGAATGCTAAGGGTTAATTTGATACAATTAAAAGTCAAAATGAGTGAAAATATGACTAAAATGTTTCACAAATCAAATTTCAACCGTGATGTCCAGATTTTTAGTTGGAGATTGAGACCTATATTTGACCCAATAATCATTCGAATTGAAAAAGAGCTACTTCTATCAAAATTTTAGCCTTTTTAATTATCTTTCTAAAACATTTTGAATCTCCTTAATCGGATATCGGGACAAAATGTTATAACAAAAATACTGAAGCAGATGCAGAGTTTAGAACAACGACTTAGCGCTCAGGCGCTGCATCCACAGCTCCTAGGCACTACACGGGAAGGGAACGCAGCGCCTAGGCGCTGCCTCCTAGAGCTTAGGTGCTGTGTCACAAATTTTAAGGTTATGCTATTTTGGGGAGAACGTGTAGGGGAGTAAAAATAGAAGAAATGAGGAAGTTTTAGGGGTTCCACAGATTGAGAAAACAAATATACAACTAGAAATTGAAGAGAACAATTAAAAGGAGTAAATCATCAAGGAATTCACATTTTGAAGCATTGATTGGAAGATGAAGTACATCTTGGTGCAACCTTTATTTCCTTTTCTACATCTATATTCAAAATCCGGTGATGTACTCAATAACTTCTTGTTTTTCTTCTTCATTTATTATGAGTAGCTAAACTTTATGTTAGGGCAAACGATGTAATCTACTTGAAAACCTTTATGTCTTTATTCAAGATTCTTGGTATTTCATCGTTCATGTGTTGATTTTACTATGAGTTTAATGCATTAAATTACTTAATCACTAATTTGATAACTTCGTGAATCTTTTACGAATCCAGAGGTGAGTTTGAGATTTAGACCATATAGTAAAATCCGATAATTTAGTATAATGTGTAGAGATACTTATACTAAATGTTGCACTCATACATGAATTCTTAGAACTAATATTTCGTTTAACTAAGGTAGACTCGTATAGAGATATGTGATTGAAATAGTTAAATATGCTTAATGAGAACTCGAGAGGG